CAGTAGCAGTAGTAGTAGTAGTAGTAGTAGTAGTAGTAGTAGCAGTAGCAGTAGCAGTGGCAGTCGCAATCGCAGTAGCAGTAGCAGCAGCCGTAGCAGTAGCAGTAGCAGTAGCCGTAGCCGTAGCAGTAGGAGTAGTAGTAGTAGTAGTAGTAGTAGTAGTAGTAGCAGTAGCAGTAGCAGTAGTAGTAGTAGTAGTAGCAGCAGCAGCAGCAGCAGTAGTAGTATTAGTAGTATTATTATTATTATTATTATTAGTAGTAGTAGTCGTAGTAGTAGTAGTAGTAATTAGTATCAATAGTAGTAGTTGTTGTTGCGGTATCGTCAAAACCCCATACCAGAACACTTATAGCAACTCTCATCGAACCCTCCCTTCAAACAGCTCTAGTTGGCCTTTGGGCTTTCAGCTCGAGGTCCTCTGAGTTTACTTCGGGGACCCACCGTTTCGGGAGTAGGGTTTACTCCGTGGCCCAGGGACCCCAAAGCTTCGTAGGACCGGTAGTTCCAGGTCCCCGGAGCCGTTCTGCAACCCTAACCATAAACCCTGAACCCCTCAAGCCTAAACTCTAAACTCAAATTCCTAAACCCAAGACCCTTAAAGGCAATCTGCACATTTATTCATCCACCCATCCCTCCATCCATCCATCCATGCATCCATCCCTCCATCCATACATACATCCATACGTCCAAACATGCATACATGCATACATGCATACATGCAAACATGCATACACATACATACATATATACATACGTACACACGTACATACGTACATGCGTACATACGTGCATGCATGCATAGATACAGAGATACATGGGATCGTGCATGGTGTGTGAGAGAGGGTGCATCCCTATCAAATACGTGTGTGCATACATACTCATACGCGCGTAAGCAGGTACATACATGAAGCTGTATGTCATTAAATACCGGTCGCCATAGGCCATCTCGGTCTGTCCTGCAAATTCTCTTTCGCTTCCAGCGGCATCACCGAGAGCTGATCCACGTGTCTGGCTGCCAGCTTGCGTATGAGCTTCTGGGCCGTGATGAAATGCGCATAGGCATTCCTTGCATGGCATGCCGCTGGCGATAACCCTGAGCAGAAGAAGACTAAAATCATGACAATAGCACGGATTGTGATACAAAATTCCAACAATAGTGGTAGTAGTGGTTGTCAACAACAGCGGCCACGACGACGACAATGACAACTACCGCAGCCTTCAAGACGGTGACAAGAACAATAAACAGAAACCTATGTCAAGCAAAGACAATTGCCTATCGTGACAAACAACAGGTCGCGAAAGTAAGAACACCAGAAAGAAAGGGAATCACAATGGCCGTAAGAACAATAACACAATTTCTAGAACCCGATGATAACACGAATGCAATGCTACCCCAACTGCCCAATCCCTTAACCCAAAACCCAGAGGTCTAGGGATCTAGGCTTCAGGGTCCAAACCCTGCCATCTTGGGAGGAGTAGCGCACAGAGCCCGGCACAGAAGACCATCGCCAGCTCCAGGGGGAGGCTGCCGTGGAGGCTCAGCGAGGCTATCAGCGCATAGAAGCCCGTGATGCCTGGGGTTCACTCTCAGGGTGTCGGGTTCAGGGTTCATCCTGCAGGGGTTCAGGGTTTGAAGTTTCAGAAGGGTACACTCAAAAATAAATACGGGTTGTCTGGGGCCAAATGCAGGAGTTTTTATCCGCAAATGTGCTGCCCAAACTGATGGCTTCTGAACCAGGTTCCTACATCAGGGCCTCGGGCTTTCAGTGCGAAGAAAAAGGAGAAAGTGGTGTCGAACTGATGTCTTCAGGGATGGCGCTTGCTGCTTCAGGATTACAAGCTACGAGTGGCCCGAGGCTGGTGGTTCAAAACGCCCCCACGGGGTTTCCGAAACTTTCACACGAGAGTTGGAACCTGCCCCCTGGATCCTACGCCTTCAAACCTTACGCAGAGACTACTGGCAGTGCAACAGAGCCAGTAGAGTAGCGGAAGCAGCAGTGGCGCAAGCATCAGCACCGGTAGCAGCAGCTCCCTAATCGTTGCACTGTTCAAAGTCTACATTACAAACTCTACACAGCATTTCCATGCTGTCAAGCACACAAAATTCCCAAAAAAACTCGTCAAGCACGGTATTCCCAAACGTCCGAGCAGCCGAGCCCTCCGCCCAGCATGCACTTCCCTCAGCGCTCAAGGAAGGGCTTTCAGAGTTCGGGGCTTCGGAGGCTTCCTTTCGGGCCAATTTGAGGCTTCTATAGAATTTGGAAGTCGGGAATTAATGCCTATGGCTTCGGAGTCATGGCTTTTGGCCGTCTCTGCATGCATCCCAAGGCCCAGAACTCCAAAATCCTGCCCGACACGCAAACCCTAAACCTGAACCCTAAACCCGAAACCCTAAACCCGAAACCTAAACCCGAAACCCTAAATCCTAAACCCGAAACCCTACACCCGAAACCCTAAACCCTTCAACTTCAAGCCCTGAAAAGCGGAAGATCCTTCGTGGAACCCAACCTTCGGGAGCGAGACTGAAGCCGGGCTGTTGGGGGTTTAGGGCTGTTGGGGGTTTAGGGCTGTTGGGGTTTTAGGGCTGTTTGGGTTTTAGGGAGGTTTTTGGGCTTTGAGGTTTTAGGGCTTTGAGGTTTTAGGGTTTAGGGCTTGTAGGTGTTGGGAGTTTAAGGTTTCAGGGTGTGGGGCGTCGGATTTTCTTTGGGGGGGGGAGGCCTCGGGCCGGTACACCCCAGGGCTCTCTGCCATTCGAAGCCGGGGTGCAGCGAGATGCCGCGACGACCTGCAGAAGCCACATGGGTAGTTGTTTTGGGGTACCCTAAATAATAGGTGCTGTATTATAATAAGGACCCAAAAAGGGACCCTAATTTTAGAAAACTACCCACGTAGGATTCTTCTGACGTTTGGGAGTTTAGGAGTTTAGGCATCACAACGGGCTTCAGACAGTCCGATAACCCGCAAAAACGTGCACAGCACCTCAAGCAAACCGACACCTATACTCTACTGCTGCTGTTCGTGGTGCTGATGATGATGATCAGGACGAGGAGGAGGAGGAGGAGGAGGAGAAGGAGGCTTGCGGCGATGATGGTAATGATGGTGACAATCGTTGCGACGGCGATGCTGATGCTGCTGGTGAAGGTGGCAATGACCAATGCTGTTGATATTGGTACTCCTGATCATATGCAGCAGCACTATCATAGCAAAGACGGGAGTTACAACGACATGAATGGCAACCTCCTTAGGCCAACGTAGGAACCATCCTGGTAGTCCATGGGGGTAGTCAGAACGGGAACCTGCGTCCCCTTTTTGGAATCAGGGCGGTTCTCACTAGTGCCTTTGCCACCCATCATGTCTTGTTGGGGTGTTGCGCATGGGGGACACCGCGCGCATGATGCTTGTGGTGGCGACCAAGATGCAGGTTGACAAAACCCCGCAGAGGTCGCCCACTTCGAAAGCGAGTTGCCCGTTCGCAAAATGGAAGAGGAGACGTCCGTCACATCAAAATATCACGACAACGTGGCAGACGTCTGCGGGCAAAGCGTCCATGTTGCACGTAAGGAGCTCAGTAAGCTAGCAACATTCCCAGCGCACATGTTGCCTAACCTGGGCGAAGAAATTCAATCCGTCTTGAACTATCCGGGCAAAAGTCCACTTCCGAATCGCCACAGACCCTGGACATGCCGCATGCGGCCCTTGTGCAGGCGAAAGTTTCGGAAAGTATAGGACACCAACTATGTCCACGAAACACTTCGATCGTGAACCTCTCAGTCTCTTGGTGCCAAAGCTGAACAAACTCGGCCTGGGAAAACGATAGCAAAAAATAGGACGCCAAATCCCTCTACTAAACTTGAACTCCCAGAAAAGATTATGAACTGAATTAATCTGCTCAGGGGAACCACTCGACCCTCAACCCAAACCGTCGAACGCCCTTAACCGTAAAACCCCTAATCCCTGAACCCTGAACCCTAATCCCCTCCCTCAAACCGAATCCAAACCTCCTTTATTATACAACCTTTATGGCACCATTCTAGAATTCTCATCGAATCCCCACCTAGAGTCTCCATAGAAGTTCCTTCTTGTTGAGTAGCCAATGCTACTGCGCCTTACATGTCTATACTGTATAATCAGTACGGGCAGTATCCAACGCCCCTAAACCCTAAACCCTAAACCCCAAAACCTTTTATTAACCCAAACCCGATCCCGAATCCCTAAACCCTAAACCCTAAACCCCTAAAACCACAAAATCCTCATGCTACATGACCCCAAACCCCAAACTCCAAGACCCTAAAATCCCCATGCGACCTCCTGCATGTCCACATCGGACTGGAAAATCAGGGTCTCCTTGTCGAAGCTCAGGGGCGGGACCGGCCTGTTGAGGTGTTGGGATTTAGGGCTTACGGTTTAGGGTGTAGGGTTCAAGGTTTAGGGTTTAGTGACAGGTACAGAAACCCGTGTAGAAGCCTGTCTAGAGGCCTTGTGGCAACTGGGCCCCAGTATTTCAGAAATCTCTCAAAGTCCGTGCCCCAATTGCAGCTTCATGATAACCAGACAGCCACTAAGACTTTGAACAAACGAAATCCGCTGGCTCAGAAATCCGGGCTTCAGGGTTCAGGGTTCAGGCCTCTT